AAATTTTTCTTCCATGCGAGAGGTGAGGGATCTCATTTCTAATTGTTTTCTCCGTCTGTAAATGTTCATAACGGCGATACCGAAAAAACGACAAGGAGTTATCCCTAATTTGTTGGCTTAGCCTTCCTGCCATTCCGCCTGCATGCCAAACTTCAAGCACCAAGGTGCATGGCGCGAAAAGCTAATGCAATTGTGTGTACGTGTGTATGTATGCATGCATGCATGCATGCATGTATGTATGTATGTATGTATGTATGTATGTATGTATGTATGTTTGTATGTATGCATGCATGTATGTATATATGTATGTATGTATGTATATGTATGTATGTATGTATGCATGCATGCATGCAGGCATGTATATATGTATGTATATATATAAATATATGTATGTATATGTATATGTGTATATATATATATATATATATATCAGAGTGAAGGGGCCGAACGGTCATTCACTGTCCCTGGGTGCGTGGCTGATGTGGAATTCCGCGGTGCGGATTCTTGTTGTTGTTGTTGTGTTGTTGTTGTTGTTTGTTGTCGTCGTCCCACCCGCAACCCGCCCCGCGACCCACCCGCGACCCACCCCGCGACCCACCCCGCGACCCACCCGCGACCCACCCGCGCGACCCACCCCGCGACCCACCCCGCGACCCACCCCGCGACCCACCCCGCGACCCAACCCGCGACCCACCCCGCGACCCCCCCGCGGCCCACCCCGCGACCCACCCGCGACCCACCCGCGACCCACCCGCGACCCGCGACCCACCCGCGACCTACCCCGCGACCCACCCGCGACCCACCTTCGACCCAAACCACGTTCAAGGTACAAACCACAATTTTCGGCGCCTGCGGCGGGCTTTTTTGCATTCCTTCCAAGTGGAGAGCCCGCGACACATCCCGTGACCAACTCGCGACCAACCCGCGACCCAAACCACGTTCAGGGTACAAACCACATTTTTCGGCGCCTGCGGCGGGCATATTTTGCATTCGTTTCAGGTGGAGAGCCCGCGGCCCACCCGCGACCACGTTCAGGGTACAAACTACATTTTCGGCGCCTGCGGCGGGCATCCTTTGCATTCGTTCCTTGTGGAGAACCCGCGGCCCACCCGCGACCCAAACCTCGTTCCGTGTACGAACCATTTTTTTTGGCGCTTGCGGCGGGCTGCTTTTGCATTCCTTCCAGGTGGAGGTGGAGAGCCCGCGACCCACCCGCGACCTAAACCACGTTCACTGAACAAACCAATGCCGCACAAGCGCGGCGGCGGATTCTTGCATGCCGTCTGAGCCCGCAAGGACCTCTTCACGCCCCGCACATCCACGCCAGCCCGTCCAGCAACTTTGCCCTGGCGAGTTGCCTTGATCAGAGAAGGCGGGGAGCATAAAGTGGAAAAAAGGATTGCGTTGCAGTTATCTTGGGAAAGGAGGGGGAGGCAGGATGAGTAAACAGGGGACGAGGAGAACGTGGAAGAAGAGAGGATGTAAGGAGAACGTGGAGAAAGAAAAGGAGGAGGAGCAGGAGGACGAGGGGGAGGAGGGGGAGGAGGGGGAGGAAGGAGGACGAGGAGGGGGAGGATGGGGAGGATGATGATGATGGACGACAATGGGAGGACGATGATGGAGGCCGATGAGGGGGAGGACGACAATGGGAGGACCATGATGAAAAGACGAGGGGGGGAGAGGGAGGACGAGGAAGAAGAGGAGGAGGAGGAGGAGGACGAGGTGGAGGAGGAGAATGACGATGACGATGAGGACGAGGAAGAGGAGGAGGAGAGGGAGGAGGAAGAGGAGGAGAAGGAGGAGGAGGAGGAGGTGGAGGAGAGCGCCATCGACAAGAAAGGTGGGGGCCACGAGGTCCGCCGGCTCGACGACGCCCGCGTCGCCCGCGCCCGCCCCCTCACTCTTATCTGCAATTGCGGGGTGCTACGGTATATATATATATATATATATATATGTATACACACAAATTTTTGTGTACTAGAACCACGCGCGCGCGCTTAGGTTCTAGTCGCCGCATCATGGCGCCAAAGGATGCCACGGCAAGCAGTACCATCGGCAGCGGATCTCCTTCCAGAGGGTCCTGACGGCCGACCCTCCTGGAACCTGGACAATCTTGTGCAGTGCTGCCTCCTTTGTGGCGTAACTCCATCGCAGTGTTTCATTGCAGGAAGGTTCCAGAACTGCCTGGACTGAATTAGGCTGAATCGAACGGCCGCGAACCAGCGCCCCCCCCAAGACGAATCGAACCGAACCGGAATGGTCGCGGTAGAGACCCAAACCGAACCGAACCAAGATCGCTTGTGGACCGAATGGGGCCGAATCGGACCGATACAGACCGAACCGGAGCGGTAAATCCACCCCAGGGAAGGGGGAACGAAACCCGAGGCCCATCAGAGAACTGCCCAGACTCCCCCCCTGCTCGTCATCGATGTCGGCCTCCTCCTCGCCCTTTGTCTTCGTGCTCGCCCTCGTCCTCGTTCGCCTTCGTCTCCTACCTGACCTCTTGCTCCTCCTCCTCCTCCTCGTCCTCCTCCTTCTCGTCCGCCCGTGATGGATTCTGGACCCTGGGCTTTGGGCCCCTGGCTCCGGGGACCCGCGTTGACGCTTGTGGACCCATCTTCGGCCCCTGGAATCCTCCACGGTCCCTGGACCTCTCCTTGGCCCCGAAAGTGCGGCCCCAGGACCCCACTTCCAGGAGCAGGAAAAGCAGGAGGAGGAGGAGGAGCAGGAGGGGGAGGAGGAGGAGGAGGAGGAGGAGGAGGAGGAGGAGGAGGAGGAGGAGGAGGAGGAGGAGAAGGAGGAGGAGGAGGAGGAGG